ACCTACACCCACCCGATCCACCCACCCCCACACCCCATCCGATACCCAACCACACCACACACCCACACCCTTTTAGCATTTTCAGAGGGAACGAAAGATCAAGTTGAGCTCACAAGGGGTCCACTCTGTAGTACTCATCGAGTTCCGTCTTGGTATACCATTTTCAACACTTGATCTAACCTATAAGCAAATCGCGACAGCTAATACGAAGAAATGCCTCAGTTGGGGCCCGGATTGGCCGAACCTGAGCATCGAATCGAGCTCAAAAGGTATCCATTGGATAGACCTCGTCGAGTTCTATCTTTGCCTACCGTGTCGCCGTTTGGTCTAACCTATGGACGAATAGTGACGGATTTTCCGAAAACATGATGCTTTTTTTAGGTGTCTTTTTGCAGTATTTTAGGTTTTTCTCAATGATGGATTAATCCGAGGAAAAAAATAACGAGACCAATCGATAGAGCTCTTCGAGATGCATCTTTGTCTAACTTGATTTAACCTATAGAAGAATCTTATAAGAAAATACGCGAATCCTAATCTAAGATATCCTACGTTATTCTTTCGACTCTTGACTCATATGTATCACAACAATGACATCAAACATGAAACTCGGACTCACTTGAAATACTTTCTTCGGTCTAGCGACAGCTACGCGCGCGATACCACCGTGCTGAGTACTGGGATGCAGAATAACTTTTTTTCAGTTCTGTGTACAGTTAATTTATAATTCTTTCCAAAGTTCAGCTACCTTTCGAAGTCGAGAGCCCCTAAACCCCTCATAATTTCGATTTTATTGCATATGAATTCGATTATAATAAGAGCATTTTCTACTGAGGTGTCACAAAGTAAAAATATTTTTCTTTCTTTTCCCAACTAGGGTGTGTGTGTGGGTGTAGGTGTGTGGGGTGTGGGTGTGTGGGTGTGGGTGGGGTGCGGGTGTGGGTGGGTGTAGATGTGTGGGTGTGGGTGTGGGGTGTGGGTGGGTGTGGGGTGTTGGTGTGGGTGTGTGGTGTGGGTGTGGGTGTGAACTCAGGTGCTTTCCTCATACTTCCCAACACCCACACCCACATCTAAACAACAACGAATGAGAGTTCAACTACAGTTATATCCAATTGAATCATCAGCTCAACAACAACAGATGAAATTTCAATTACGATCATATCTAATTGAATAATCATGACCTCAAGAACGACATATATCGCCAACATTTGATGGCCAAACACCAAATCTCATAACTATCAAGCATGGTTTGGTGAGAAGTAAAATGTTAATATTAAGATTTATACAAAAAAACACTTACTCGTTTTTACCTATCAAATTTATTGAAAAGTGAAAGATTTTTATTTATTTCAAAACAAAAAGAAAAAAAATGAAAATCAATATTCATCATTAATTGCTATACAATGAGCAATTACTATATAATATGTAAATAATATTTATCACACATATTAAATATATATATTCACTATTCAATATATTGAATCAATAATATTCAAATAATGCATTACAAATAAATCAAAGTTAATAAATAAGAAGCATATAATTCAGAAATAGCATGTCGCATAAATAATATATTACATATGTAAAATATATAATACATAAATACTATGTATTAAATCAAAAAAACGAACCTTATAAATCCTTCATAAATGAAATGTAATGAATAAAAATATATAATACATAAAACCTATATATTAAACGCAAAAACCGTAACTTGAGGATATAGGGATCAAAGAAGGAAACTCACACCCACACCCTTAAAATTCCAAAAATTTTTGGGAATATGTTGTAGAAAACCTATAATTGCTTTGAAATTGAGTATAAAATACCATTATACTATGTACTTATTAAAACTTCATGTAGAGTTTTTCCCAGTGACCTTTTAGATACACGTTGCACTATAATACGAGACAATAACTGCTATTGCGGTTATAGTTTTTCTATGAATTGAGAGATCATGACTATGAGTTTATCTCGAAAAAGTATCCTTTTAGAAAAACCAATGGTTTGGAGAAGGAAAGTTGTCGTGCATATTTTCTTTGAAACGAATGAAAAGATCGAAAACTTCAAGTAAATACTTTTAGGTCAAGTCCTATTGACATATCATCAATTTACAACTTGAGTGATACAAAAGATACTGCAAAGCAGAGTTTTCAAAAAAGATAGTGAAGTTTTTTTCATATAGCTGTGTCGATTTTCTTGATAACTTGTTTTCGAGTAAAACAAGCAGTACACCAAGAGTTACAATATCAATGTAGCTACTAATACTGTGATTGAAATTCTTTATAAGTCTGTCTATAATTGAATCGAAACTTTATCTAAACTAATCTGAACACATAAACAATAAAGCATACAAATATTTGTAAAAGAAAAACTACGTATATTCATGGGATAGTACTATAAATATCAATTGATAATATACTACTTAGGACCACTGACATTATCTAAAATCTAAAGACCATAATGTATTAATCGTTATTTAAATTTAACAAAAAGCAGTAATATATATATTATGTTGTACGATAGAAAAAGAAAAGGTACCTAGGAATCAAATAAATGAACAGAAGCAACTAAAGTGATGATATGGTACGCATGATAGAACAGAATCTACTCTAAAAGATACATTAAAATCCAGAAAATGAGCTTGAAATATCAAGTCGAAATTTTGAAGTCATTTTTTTCTCGATTTCTAATTTTCTACAGGAATTATTTCATTAGAATGCTGCTAAGGGGAGCATAAAAACTAAATGTCATAAACACATCTATGTAGAACTTTCATTACAGCTTTGCACAATTTCCATTTATTTATTCAAATAGAAATAAGATACTAATTTCTAATTGTACTCAAAAACGTTTTCGACTTTATAAAATTTAAGAAAATTATTTATCCATTATAATTTGAAGATTAATTAGTATTATTTATTTTTCAACATTTATGATGATTATCATTCAAAATCTTCTTTATAATTAAAATGTGCTGTACGACAAAAAGCAACATTTCTACTTCAGCTTAAAACCACTTGATTATTTCGAGTGTTCTTGTCTTTTTTCATCGTCTACAACATTCTTTGAAAACAACCAAGAAACACACCTATTCAGAATCTACGTTGGAAATTCTCGCTAGTAATATGTGTAAAAAACATTCTATTACTTGTTGTTTTTCTGTAGTGAGCAGATATTCCAACAGCTTGAAGATAACACTGAGAAAAACTAAATACAAAGCTTTAGCTATTTCTTAGATTGATGTTTCGTATGCATCCTTGCTGTTGGTCAGCGACACAATGAATTTCATGTATTTATATGTCCCATGTTCACTAAATCAATTCTGTACTATTCGTTATCAGACTTGTGAAGAAAGAAAACGTTGTCATTAATAGAAAAAAACAGGACGTGATGGAATTATTTTTTCGGAACATAGTTCAACAGAGCTTGTAACATATACCTTGAATAGATGTTTTTAATTTTTCTAAATCATTCTTTATGCAATGAAAAATGAGGTCAGCTTTTTTTCCCAGAATTTTAAAATAAGACAAGTAGAAAATTTGATTGACATGAGCAAAAACTGTGGCCTATTTTTTTTCTCTCTGTTCTTGACTATTTTATCTTTTATTATCATGACGCATTTCTATTAGCAACAGAAAAGAAGTATTAAAAACAAAAAAAAAACTTCTAGATCAACTATTAGGATTTCTCTATTCATACTAAAGAAAAAAATCATTTTTAATTAGTTATTTGTTGTTTTTGTTTATTGTTTTTCATTTATTTCGAATTAAAGAAAATGTAATAATTTAAAAAAGAAAATGTTTATGTGCGTATACAAGTATGTTTGATAAATAATAAGTACCAACAACATTAAATAAGTGCAAAACATAAAACATATTATTTATCAAACAAATAAAAAGCTATTAAATTAATTCATACAAGATATAAACAAAACAAAAGAAACCCACCGGCAACATATAAAACATAACAACGGACGGTTGTTGTTTAGTATATGAATGTTCTTTTTTCTTGTTTTCAAAATAGAATGTTTAGATAATATTGTCAAGATATTCATCTGACATAAAATGTTTTTGACCGAATTTATAATATTGAACATGCAGTACAACAAGTAGATGTTGATGAATTAGAATCTGTAGTTGATGTTATTGCGTTTGTTGTTGTATCTTGATTATTGTCATGTTTATGTTTTCGTTTTTGATCATTATTTGTTGATTCTGGGAGATGTTCACGTTGGACAAGATGCATCACAGTTGTTTTGCCTAATGATAAAATGAATAGATCTTTTAGTATTAAAAAATGTCTTACCTGGTTGAAGTCGTAAAGCGCCTAATGTGACATTGCCATGTAAAAATCTTCCTTGATAAATTAATCTTAAAACTTCATAACGGTCAACTTTTTGTTCATTTCCCCAATCTAATAAAAATTCAATGAATAGAAAACAATAAAATTATACTTTTTTTTTTTTCTTTCGAAAAAACCTTCAGGCCAATTTTCAAAAACATATTTAGCTACATCGGATGCTGTTGTTGTTGGTCGAAATTGAAATTCAGCTGTTTGACCGGTAACAAGAATTAACTTGAGATTGATCTTTTAAAAAATAACTTTATTTATTGTTGAAATTGAAACGCTTTTTTTTATATTTACTTACAATATCAGACGATGAAGATTTGGTTCCCATTGAAGATCATAATGTTTGATGAAACATATATTGAAATGATATACAAATAATATTTCTCTCAATATAAAAATTAATATTTTTTTTTGTCGCTACTATCAAAAGTAATTTATTTAATTATATTTAAGAAAAACAATATTTGATTTTATTCTTAAATTAAAAATATTTATTTGTTTTTGAAAGAAAAAATATATTATTATTTTTTTCTTGTAAAAAAAAGAAAATAAGATTTTATGATTGGTAGGTAAGACGAACTAATCAAACAAAAAAGATAATTTATGTTTGCTCTCGCTCTTTTTTGTTTATTCTTATTAATTGTTTAAATATGAAACTAACACAAAAAACACTTTTTCAATGTTTTGAAAAATCTCGTCCAACATCACCAATAGTTAAATCATGTGAATCTCAAATAAAAATTTCTTCTCAACAACAAGAATCTGAAAATCATCAATCTAATTTTCTTTTACCTATTCATATACGCCAATTATATAATTCATTAAATAATGATATTATTCCTTGTTTTAATGAAAGAAAATTTAATGATGATAATTCATCTTATTCGAGTCAAGAATTTTATCGAATATGTCCAACAAACGTTAATAATCAAAATCATTTACCGAAACTTAAGGTATTGGAGATGTGCTCCGAATTCTTTTTTTTTTTGACTTTTGACGAGCGCGAAACTCTATGGGACGGAAAATTTTTTTCATCCTAAAAATTCACAAATGAAAGAAAAACTGATTACAGTTAACTCGATCGGATCAAATCGATCATGTTGACTGCTTTTCGAACTTCTTTTTTAAATTATGTAGAGTTTTTTGTGTTTGATTCCGTAGATCTCTTCTCATTTCAATATAGATTTGAAAATTAAACGTAGTTATACTTTTTTTTTAAAGTTTATTAAAATATCATCAACTGAACGTCAAATGGAATTGTTTAATCAATATACTAATGATCAATCCATCATTAATTGGAAATCCATGTTTGAGAGTTTCCAAGATTACCGAAAAAAAGTCATAGAACAAAGTATGTACACCAAAAAAAAAAAGAAGAAATTGTTGTTTTTTTTTCAGTTTTGTAGCCAGTCTTCGTTTTTTAGATCAATATGAACAATTATTATGGACCGAAATCTATCGTCCAAAAAATTCTAAAACATATCTTGGAAATCATACAAGACAAATCAAACATTTAAACGAATGGTTTTCATATTGGACAAAAAAATTACATAATGAACAACCTCAAAAAAAAGTTTCACGAAAGAAACGAAAATGTCTTGCCGACGACGACGATGATGATGATTATTCCGATAAAAATTTTTCGAACGATTCAAGTATGTATTTGAAAAATAATATTTTCGGTTAATATATATCCTTTATATTCAATCACATTATTTATTGATTGAATACATATCATATTAACCAATATTAAAAAAAAAGAAGAAAAATAAAATGTTTTTCATTATATGCTCGACAAGGTCTAGATCATTGAGAGATTAAAATGTTATCTGGGTATAACGAGCAAACATTTTTCGTTTTTTGTTTCAAATTAAATTTCAATTATCTTGAAAATCATAATAGATTTGAACTTTCATATTTAGATACATTTTTTAATCATTCCTGTCATTCGAAATCTGAACATCCACGATTAATTTTTATTCATGGTTTTGGAACAACATCGTTGGTACATGCACTTGCTGAAGAACATAATTTCAAAGTAAGATTAAAACTAATTTCAAGACTTTTTTTATAAATGGACAAAATATAAACAAGATCATTTGTGTCCTAAGTTTTACTGTCATCTAGTTGCATATTAGTGGTAATAGCATCTCATGTAGAATAATCCGAAACATTGAAATAAAGACTGTTTTTAATGGTCATATATAATTGTTCATCAAATGCATGAAATTGTCACTCAACAATCTTTTATCCTCAAATTGCGCATGTGAAACAAAAATGTCAATATAATTTTCAAGTGATCATATTTTACTAGCTTAAAAATAACTAGAGACGTCGAAACATTTTTATAGATGCACTTGAAAATACCAGAATTTCTTGTGAATGTTTAGCCTGTTGGTTATAAAAAAATGAATAAGCCTTTTTTGACTGAGAAAATCGAACTCACGCATTTCAACAAATCTCCTATAGATTCGAATTCTTCTCAATACGCTTATGTTTTGTAAATTCTAAAACTTTTCATACTACATCTGACATATAGAATTTCTTGCTTTGATGTATTATTTTTTGGTACCTTAGGTAACAGAAATTAACGGATCTCAATCACGAGCTCGTACACCTCTACTTAAACAACTTGAACAAGTAACAAATCATCATCAACTATCGTTTAAACGTTGTCCATCAGATACGATTATGTCACAAGGTAAAGATCTCTTTAAAAAAAAAGTTTATTTCTTTTAAATTTTCTTCTATTAGAAAACAAATCAAAATCGAATAAAGAAGTATCATCTCCGTTACCCGTCAAGAAAAAAGCTAAATATGAACGTGGTTCCATAGTGTCTTATTTTAATCAACCAAAAATGTCCGATCATAATAATGATGAACAAAAAGAAAATAAACCTCAGTGTCAATCAAAATCAATGATATCGAATAAAAAAGAATCGAAAAAATTAACTAATGAAACAAATATTACAAAAAGACGAAGTAAAACCAAACAAGAAGAAAAACCAATAATTACAACAGATAATCAATTTATCTCATCTGTTCAAGTTGAAAAAACATCTTTAATTCTTTTCGATGAGGTTTATTTTCAAAAACAAAAAAAAATAACAACATCTTTTTATTTGTTTCTTTTTCTATTAGATCGAAACATTAACAACAGATGATAATTTTTGGTCATGTTTAAAAAAATTACTCGAAACAGCTAAAAAACCTATTATACTCACATCAAATAGTAGAACAAATCCCGAAGATGCAATTATCAATTTATCTAAAATTGGCTATTATGAACTTATTCATCTCGAACAAAATGAACCAGTAAATTAACTTATTTTAAGCATCTCTTCTCATAATGAATTTCTTAATTAGATTCATTCATGTTAAGCTAAAATTTTTACGGGTCACACTGATCCTGAAACTGTTTCTTCTCTATTTATGTGAATTCTTTCTAAAACAAAAAAGCATTCGAATTCAAATAGAAAACACTCTTTTCATTTTTTATGAGCATTCTTAGAGACGCAGTAGTTACATGAACATGAAAAAAATAAGGTAATCTCGTGATATTTAATTTCGCTTTTCTTAACACAGCAATCAAATATAAAACAGAGCAAAAAATATTCGTTATATTTCAAATTTTCTGATTGAAAACACTGTGTTGACAGAATACAATCGATTGATTAGTTTAGAAGTGAATCTTTACGTTAATTCTTTGACAGCAAAGTTGAAGCCTCGTCAAACAGGTTAGTAGCGGATGCAGAGAGGCACGATTGCACCTCTCTCTAGACTTTATTTCAAAGTATATCATGGTTATAATAAAACTTGTACGTAGTAGACTGGATTATCTATCTAATATTGAAGATAAATATAAAATGTATAATCCATGTCTTGAGTGTCACTAAGCGCTTTATAGTTAATATAAAAATATTCTATTCAATGTTGATGCTGATCTAAAAATAGTCTTTGAAAAATTAATAAACTCAAAAGAACTGTCGGCATTTTTTCCTCACTGATATAATAAAAATTCAATTTCGGGCTTTTTCTTTTAAAGCAATGAAGCTTAATAATAATATTTCTTTTGATTGTTATTCTTTAATAGGAACTTGTCGGTTGTTTTCTCCGTTTAATACTTTTAATTGAAATGTTTGAAGTATGTTCACTTGATGACCTTACAAGACTTTTTCAACATTGTTCATGTGATTTACGTCAAACATTATTAACACTTCAATTTCTTGTACAATCATCATCTATAACAAATAGTCCAAAATATCCGTTAGAAGAGAATAATTCAATAATATCAAAACCTAGATGGCAATCATCATGTATATTCGATGCTATGTATTATTCTCACCTTGATGAACAATGGAATGAATCAATACTTAAAATATTTTTTGATGATCTAACAATAAAATATACATCGGAATATGAAAAATCACATCTGTTGTTACTGAATCACAGTAAAAATGATGCGAAACGGTATATTTTATTTCACAAATAATTTATGAAAAGATTATTGTTATGTCGTTCTAGAATTGAATTGTATGATACATTCAAATTGTTTATGCAAGAACAAGAAATTGATAATATTATTGATCATCCATCATTTTATCTTGATTATCGACCATATATTCGACAAATTTGTCAAAATGAACAGATTCGAATCAATGATTTTAATTCAAATCGACGGTATGTTTTCTATATCAAATGAATATTCAATTCAACATGATGTTTTATTTTACTAGTCTTCGACATAATCTTAGTTTTCGTGGTTGTTCATTACAATGGTCTGACTTTGAAATTTTATCGGCCGGTATTAATTAAGTCTTTTAACATTGACAAATCGAAGAAAAAACTAGTCATATACTTCAGTCAGATATAATTATTTTTTTTGTTTTGTTATATCTTGTATTATCAAATAATTAAAATGTCAGATGGATTGTTTGTTTATATTTATCATTATCAATTTCTCATTGATATGTACTGATCAATTAATCAATTGAATTGACCAAAAGAAAAAAATAGCTAAAATATCTTAGGATAGACTATAAAGTCAATGCTGTATCCTTTTTCAAGCAAATCAGAAACGTTGTTTTTTTAATTTTGATTTAACACTTTATTGTAAAACATAGACACTTGTCCAGATTATTCATATGCCATTAAGCTCTACATGACGCACATAGTACTGACTGAAAATTTGTTCGCTAACATGAAGATTTCCCTCATGAGCAGATAGTACCCGAGCAAATATATATAGATCATTGTGACGAACTGGAGGAGTAGCTCGATTGATATCCTTGATTATGATATTTGTTAAATTATTTCATCACTCGAACATGCATATTTACTAATCATACCAGAGTGATAGCATTATGAAAAAATCATAATAAGAAAAGAAAATAAGTGATGTGCAACGGTAGTTTTACGGTATGAAACAACGATATCGTAATTTTGTATACTCATATCCACATTGAAAAATATAAAATGTTAAATTGTGAAGCTAAACAATGAACTGTTAACATGTGCTAATGATTTAATATATATTAAGATCAGATCTGATGAAAATGCATCATTTTTATGCATTTTCTTGAATTCATTTATATTATTTTTGTGGCATTTTAACCTGAAAAATGTTAACATGGCCGGAAGATTGAACATGAAAAAAGAAACTTATCAAGCGTAAGTAAAGGGTGTTAGTAAGAAATTATATCTTAACATAAGGATATTCTGTCTACTAACATAAACATCTTGAAGAAGCAATCTTCGTACATTTAATATAAGTGAATGAGTTTTTAAATAACTAGAAATTCAAAATAGGAGTTCATTATCAATGATAAAATCATCAAGGAAACAAAAAATGAATTAAACATATGAATGAACAAGATAATCAGTAGAGTGTAGTTGATGAAAAGAGAATAATATCTGTGAAATAAAAGATACCCTCAGGATATAACAAAATATCATTTTTAAACGTTATAAAAGAAATTTTCATTCATTATAACAAACCAAATTTAATTTAATTTTTTTATAATTATACTCTTGTCATATAAAATAATATGATGATTTTTCAACATAAATAGACATTGGAGAATAAGCGAAATTTCTTAAGAATTATGATGAATTACCCCTTAATAATATCTCCGATGTTGACAATATAATGTTAAATAATTGAATTTAGTGTCAACGATAATGAATACATGAATTAATAATGCATGAAACAAACCCCATAACAACATTTTTCATCAGTTTGATTTGTTAGAAGTATAGTGCAGTATATGATGTTCGTTTAAGATGCGACGTGAACGTGCGGTATTGTTAAATCATCAAAAGTATATAATCAGCTAGGAAACAATAGTATACAACCAATAGAAATTATTGAGTCTCATCTATCGGTGTCAAGCTTTCATGATCTAATGTTTTTGTTTTAATTAATGTGAAGTCACATTTAACTTTTCAAGCAGCTTTTGTCTATTAATCGACAATTTTTGTCGAGCTCCATTCGACCTATCAAAGCTGTCAATTTGAAATAGACAGGCAAGGGCACCTCAATCGAATTGTTTCTCTTTGTATTTCTTATTTCAAGCTATTATACTTGTGTTTTTTGTCTTTGATGATGGATATATAGCGAGAAAATTACACGGTTAATTGCGTCGTTTGATACATAATTACAAATAAAAAACGGAAATTACACAACAAAAAAATACATTAGACCGACATATGGTTTTTCTTCACCACAATCTGCAGTAAAAGTAATTAAGATTTTTATCTTGCCATTGCTTTTGTACATATTGACAGGCATAAGTTCAAATATTGTGCGAATATTTATAAGGTTATTTTCACAGTTCTTTCTATGTAATTAATAAAATACAGTAATGACATATTGACTAATAGAAATTTTGAAAATCCAGCTTCAGAACGTCTCTTTCGTTGTTTATATCTACACTGGACTACTATCGTATATACTAAATAAATATTATCAAAGGCAATCCGATTTGGCATTCATTTCACGAATCCATTCGAAGCCATTATTAAATCACAACAACATATCTTCTGTCATTAATTTTGTAAACTTTTTATTCATTATCGAGATAGAACATCATTAGTGCATATCGCAAATGTGATTTTATCTATACAACTGATGTATATTAAGATCTCATCTATCATATTAATAAGTATTTTTTTTTATAATTCAGACGATATGTTTATTGTAGTGAAAAGAAAATACCATATTTTTTTGTCGGATGTTTTTTGGTTTGTTTGATTTCCAATTATTATTTTTGATTGATATATCAAGCGATGCATATTAACGCTGTCCTTTCGTGCTATATACTTATCATCAAAGACAAAAGCAAACGATAATAGTCAAACAGAATGAATTCAATGAAGGCGCACTATATTTTTTTAGATGAATGCGCGAGACAACTACGACGGTAAGAATTAATTTATATTGATAACTTACATATTGCCTTTTTTCTTTCGCAGGAGAAATGCGTAATAGAGAAGGTTGCTTCTCTTTTCACTGATTCAAAGCTCATGTAAATAATATGCTAAATGACGGTACACATCAGAGCTCTGCATGCAATAGAATAGAACACAAAAAATGACCCCATGAGATGAACTGCCGTGATTTCTCTCATAGGATGGGATACCTCTAAAAATTTCGTGCGCCATCCCGTGGGCCATCATATTTGTCAAATTGTTGTCAAAAAAAGTGAAGTTTATTAATAGATTGATCCATTTGATTAATTATAGAAAATCTTATACCGTTGAGAGCAATTCAAAACTAGTGGCGGATATGCTTTATTTCTGTATCAACAGCTTCAAGAAACATTCTCTTTATATGTAGTGATAGTAAACACAATGCGATATTTTTCTTTGACATTTGGTCATACTTCAACTATTATCATAATAATAAAAATTTTGATAAGAGCTGTTTGTTAGAATATGTGATGATAAAATTACCTTATATCGTCTTTGATGCGTATTTTTCTTGTCTTTCGCTTTGTCACTGTCGATATTCTCTTCTCTCACACTGACATCCCACATCCAACCTTGAATCCGATTGACAGTCAATAACAGACGACGATAGTTGCGTCTTTTGTTTGTATATGCATTCATTTTTATCTATTTTACTAAACTCTAATGACTTCAATGTACAATTTACGGGCCAGATTTAAGGCAAAAAATAGTATAAAAACGGTTCATCTCTAATTGTTTACGACCGTAAAAACGCCATTCATTTCTCTTATCATAATGATTAGTGAATTTTTCAATGCATTCTAATACGTATTTCTCTTTTAGCAATTCGTCATGTTATTATATTCACAAATAAGCGAATGTAATGTCCCAATCGTTTGAGTGCAATGCAAATATCATGTCTTACAAAAATTTTTCTTCGATATATTAATATATATTTTTCTACATCATTGATTTTTCTTTGAATATATGAAATAAGTACTTAAAAATTTGTAATGCGTGTATTCTTGTATAACATGAATATTTGAAGAAAGAAATCGACTGATTTATTCTCTTTTAATAGTATTTGATATTTAATAAAGATAATGTGAATATTTCGATTGATCATATATTTTTAATAGAGAGCACTTTAACTTATGAACAATAAACTCATGTTTTAATCATGTAAAATATTAATAATTGACAAAAATGAGTTTGCCTGTCATTGAGTTATTAGAAAATTAAGAATGTTAAGTATTTCGATGAATTAGTAATAGGCATTGGGTAAATAAATTATGATTTACATAGTCCAACAGAACTTAATCAAGAAGATAATGAAACATATTTCCTAGTCATGCGTATTAGTTGTTGAAATTAAGAAAATACCAATAGAGCTGTTTTAGTACATATCAACAAATAATTGCATGTTTCATTCAAAACGAACAAGCAAGATATGTACTAAAAGTTATTGACCTTCGTTATAGGAAATTTCATTAATTGTTAGAGCATCTATTATTAGATAAAATGCTGTATGTCAACATAGAATGTCTTGCCTACTTACTTAACTTAATCAAAGTTGTTAGCAGGCAAAGAAAGGAAATTGACTTTTATTCTGATTCAAAACATCACAAAAAAACATGCGTAACGTAAATTGTCTTTTTAATGTTTATTGATGTTAGTTAAGGCGGATGTTTGAATAAAACAATCAAATAAATGACTCATTTTTGTCTAATACATCATACTATTGTTCATTACTAATAAATGTCAGTTTCGGAAAATTTTCTTTTTAGGCTTACACTGAAACAAAAAGACTCATTTTTGATTACTATTAATATAAATTGACAAGCCATTATCTCGGGATGAATTATATTATCAACATTGCATTTTATAAATAATGACTTACATTTTTTGTCATTGATATATAGTATTTGTTTAGTTTAAAGAAAAAAACAGAAAAAGCTTCCTTTGTATTAAAACTGAAAAGACTTATTGAGATTTAATCCTTTCATAAAATTAGAATATCTCATGTCTCAATGGTAAATCTTTATCAACGTTGATACTGGTTTTTTTTCTTGTTTATTATTCAAATACCCAATTAATTAGACAAGTCTGACGTATTCAAAAAAGAAAATTACATATAGAAGTCTTATAGAAATAGCATAGCTTTGAATTCATCATTAGACTAGACTATTTATATTTTCCTTGCAGTATTCTTTTTGTGAAAGAAGTTTTTATTCATCTATATGATCTATATTATAATTAGAAAAAGAAATTTATCTTTTTTTAAAAGGTGTTTTTATAATATATATATATATATGGATACTTGATGCATTTGTTACATGATTTCATATTTTTAATGGAACTTCGAAAGCTAATCGTAGAATATTCCATGCATATGATTTCCTTTTCTTATTATAAAAAAATTTTTTGTAATTCAATTCTGTCTTATTAACCTCGCTGATATTTTTGTATTTTAACACTTGAGTATTGATGATGTTTAAATTGTTTTTTCTTCAAAAATGAATACGCTACATCACTCTAACCTTTTCAATAATTTGTCAATCATGTTGAAGAACAAAAATCAAAATCAAAATCAATATTTAAAAACTAGCAAACAACAATATTTAATAATCATTTGAGTGAACAAATAAGTATGTTGTTATTATATAGAGAAAATAATATTGATATTCCGTCATAAAAATATTCTTTCTACTCTTCAACTATTGAACTAACACAGATTTTTTGTTGTGCTAGTTTCCATCAACAGGTTGGTGTTTTTGCTCATGTTGTGATAAGTACTTAAAACCAACACTACAAAAAGGATTTCCTCTCTTCCTCTTGGTCTATTATCAAGTACGAAAAAATGTTTTATATGGGTATTAGTGAATAATTTGTATATAATAGAAGAAGTGGAAATGCTAAACGATAAAAAGCCAGATCAACAGTATTATAGAAGACGCAAAAAAAATGAGCGAGCGTGGGCGAAGAGACCATAGACAATATTTAGAAAAGTACTATTTATTTTACACTAAATAAATATAAATACGTCCTTCGTTTTGTAAATTAATTACTTCCTCGTTGTTGTATCTATTGTTTCATAGTTTTATATATACCATTCATATCTTTTATGAGTCAATTTTTAGTATAATATGAGTGTTCATAATGTCGATTACTAATATTATTGATAATCACGGAAATATATTCTTAAATCGTTCTATAGTTTATTGTTGTTTTTCAAGTATTTATTTTACGACACTAAATTTACATATATATGTAAGTTAATATTACAATAAATCTTTTGAATAACATTACATAAGCATTTCCATAATGATAAAATAAATACTATTATGGTTCCATAAATAAATAATTTGACAATTCAATTTTAAATAAATAAAACATCATGATTTTCTTTTTCAATGAGTCATCATCATTGTTTTCTTCCATAACACCTACTTTTTTCTTTTTTCAGTCGTATAGTATGAAAAGATTTTTTTTCTTATTTGTTTTCTCTCTTTTCCTCTCTCTCTCTCTCGGATTCTCGCTTACATATTCTGTATATAAGTAGAAATGATGTCAATTTTATGTATTCTCACTTAAGAATTGTAATAAACTATGCAATTAGACTGTAACATTCTTTTTTTAGATATTGTTCTTTTTTTTTTGTTTCCTTTGATTTAAACAAAAATGGTTACTTTATTAATTCCAATTCGCCGTCTATTATTATTTCTTGTCCTTATTCAATCAGTTTCTCTTTATAAACTCTATGCATCAGACAATACCGTAAGTTAATTACAACGTTTGATTTTTTTTTTTGTGTTCAAATAATAAAATCTCAATTTGAAAATTTTAGCCTTTGCATTTATATAGTGATTCCTTGTCATCTTCGTACGATAAAGATATCGATCAAGCATTACCAATAAAAAATATAGAATATAATGATGATGATGATGCAGTTTTTGATCCAAATAATGATGAAAATTTAATATCATGGCTATCATTTATATCAAACATGCAACAATATCAAAAACCTTCATCAAAACGTTCGATTTTTCCAATGAAATTTCGTTCATCCAACAATTTAGTACAACGTCGGAATAATCGACCACATTGGAATCCACTTGTAGCTGCATATAAACGATGTGGTGAATTAGCAACACATGAAGAGCGCGAATCATGTTTCAAGGATGCTGTTCAAAGGCTTTTTGTTTTTAAGTTACGAAAATAATAAAAAAGATTTGAGACAAATACAATTGAAAATGTCAACCGAAAACAAAACACAAAAATAATAATAAGCATTTCTAAAAAGTAGTCATAAATCGTTGCCCGTTTTTTTATATCGCGCAAGCGTGTGTGTGTATATCTTATCAAAAAAATACAGAAAAAAAAGCGACTAGTTAATCAACATTCAATTTGTAGTTCGCATAATCTCTTCTTGTTGTAATGTTTCGTCAATAAAGAAGATAAGAGAAATAGAATGGGGTACAACTGGTGAACTGATTAAATAGAATTTTTTATTCAACGTTCTCGAAAGAATCTCATGACTTTATAAATACATGTGTTCTTTAAGTCTATTGAGAAATCTACTGATTTGATTTAGACGCAATAAGAAGACAAAAATGTGCGTAACATTTTTATTGATATTGATGAATAAGCTGACATCTACATACATGCACATATTTTGTTGTCATCTTATTCTGATAAAGAGTTCTTGTCGTGTTCTTTTGTTAACACTATGTTTAATTAAGACTAGTTAGAATTGATAATTTACATTGTATGATAAACTAAAAAAACAATTAACTAGATTGCTCAAATTTATTTTACATCTTCCATTCACCTGAGTACAAAAAAAAACTATGTTCATTGTAAAACAAATGAAAAACAAAAATGAAGGCATAAAAATGATAATTATGATTTCTTTTTTTTTTTTAATTTTCTTTTATATTTTAACCAATCATTTGCTTTTGTTCTCTTTCGAGAACACGTAAAATATTTTCCAAAAACATATAATCGGATCGTTGTAATTGAAATTTTCTCAATATATCCTGTATTAATTCAGAATTATGATCAATTTGTGTTGTATGTGACGATTCATTAGATAACATTGAACTTATTAATGCGTGAATAGGTAATTCGGTAACTGTATTATTTGTTGTCATACTACGTTGTTCATCTGTATCACCACTTTTCAAACTTGTTGTTGATGCTGAATCACCAAATGAATTAACGCTTTCATGACTACATAACTAAAAGTTAAATGAAATTAATATTTTATTTTTTAAATATCTATGTTGAAAAAAAGTCATAAGTAACAACAATTAAAAAGAAATATAAGCTGCAATAGAGACAATGAATATATAAGTCTAAATATCAAACAAATATATTCTGTATACGTATAAATCTGTTTAAATGATATTTTTTTTTCTTTTGAATATCAACGTAACAATGTAAATATGATTTAATTTATTTTTAATCAAAACTATTTATTAATATTCATTAAAATCGAAATTGGGTGTTATCTTTCATCTTTTTTTTTTTGTTCTTATGATAAATATATTACATAGATTAAGAGGATTATATATTTTTGATCTTTCTTTTGTGTTTTTTTTTTCTATTGATGTCATGCAAGTTGTGAAAAAAAAAAGATTTATCTTAGAAGATGAAACAGAATTAGGTAATTTTTTTTCTTTCTTTTTGATTAAATTTTTGAAAACTTATTAGGTATCAAAAGTCTTACAAATAAATTGCTTTTTTTTATGTTATCATAAAGATATACATACTGATTTATTATTTGCTTTCATATATTTAAGAATAGCTAAAGCAAGAAAATAAATTTCTTGTAAACTATCTTCCATATTTAATAAAGCAAAATCAGCTGGTAATAATTGTTTAGCTAAATGTGCATGTTCAATTAATGGTTGAATTAATGTTGTACGTTCTTGTCGTTGTGCTATATCATTATGTTTACTTGAATATAAATTAACCGATATATCATCTAAATTAATTAATATTGTTATTGATATATCAATTTTTTCACCATTAAGAAAAACACCACCATTTTCTGATATATCATATGTGTGTTGAGATATTATTGCATGTCGAATATCATTTATATTTGTTGTTTCAATAGCTTGTAATATAAAATCTGATGAATAAGAAGATGTAACTGATGATATTAATGAAAGTGCTAAATCTAAATGATAATCATTATTGATTTGTATTGGTTCATGACCAAGATGATTAGGTTCAAATAGTGATAGAGACATCAAAGTTTTTGTTGGTATTAATGGTACAACTGATTTTATTGGTGATTGTAATGTTACAGAGACTTTTTTATTTGATTTTACAGGCGATCTAAATAAAAATTTTTGAATAGATAAAATGATTCGTTTATAAATAAATATCGAAAAGTAGTACTGTTAAAATCAGAAAATAGATGAATTTTTGTCCAGTTAATAACTGTTTTGAAATCGATGTTCCAGAACAATGTGGATGGATATAGAAAAGATCCAACATACACATTCACTCTTCATCAATTCGAACAAATATGACCTTAGATACTTTAACAATACTCTACAGACAAACGTTATTGACATACAATTACAGATCGTTTATTAATAACATCTCATTAGAATAAATGAACTATTTCCCGATCAAATTTCTGTATGATTAAGTAATGAGATGTTGCAGAAAAATGTCTCAAAATAGATCGAATACAAAAAAAAATCTCTTTATGATCATCAATAGTAGCTACATCGTGTTTCACATTTTAATCTCAACGAGGATTGTGCTAATAGCTTTTTTTTTTGAACACTCTAAAATAGAGTATGGATGAGAGTTCAAATGGATACACATTTCATTCGTATGTGCACGCCTACACCTTTAGGATCATCGTGCTCCACTTTAATCTTATAAACAATCACCTATTTTTTTTACTGTTCGCATGATATAGCAGATAAATACTTGGTCTAAATTAAGATTTATGACATTTAGCTTGGTTACATCCTTCATCAATCTAATATTTTGATTTTTTTGACAAGGTCTTTTATATTCATTTATTTTCTTTTATAATCTCTGTATTTGATACATCATTTTTATATTAAGCAATTTATGCCAAGTCCATGTTTCTTGTGTGTGTTTTTTTTTATACGTATGGACTTTGAACTGAAACTAGACGAAAGAATAGATGCAACGAGTAAAATCTGTATGATATGATACAAGAAAACAAAAAGAAAAACAATACAATGAGTCATCTTATAACGCATTTTGAATTTCTCAATTACTCTTCGATTATTATTATTATTCATAAAAAAAGAGCAAAAAATTCTTTTAATCTTACTGATTTGTTTCTTGATGTTCATCAATAATCATTTGTTCAATATGTAAAATTAATGTATCTAATAATATTGATATATCATGTTCATCAACACTTTGACTTTCAACATCATCAGATGTATATGTTAATTGATAAGAATTTTGTGATTCAGAATATGGTATTGTTATATGATTATCGTTATTAGCTGATGTGTCATTTGATAATATATCAATATCATCTTCAAGATTTTGTTCATCATCATCATCATCATCATCCCAATGTATACTATGAACTGGTGAATATGGTTCAATATCTTGTATTTGTGTTGAATTAGCAATTAATTCATCCATATATAAACGAACTTTTTTATATGTTCGATTTTGTTCATCATTTGTATCTGATAAATTTGTATTTGGGATTTTATATGTTAAATAACTTGGACGTATAAAAAAACTTAATAAATAAAGTAAACGAATAAGTAATGAAGAATCACTACCAACAAGAACAGTTCGACAAATGTATAAAGGATTACCATAGGCACTAAATAAGTCTCTAAACAAGAGATCAACTAATTTAATTAAAAAAAAAAAGAAATATAAATCAGAATTATTCAACTAACATCAATTGCCCCCATAATGGACTATATTGTAGAAAACTTTGTAATGAATTAACCTATAAAAACCAAAGAAATATTATACATATATGAATACAATTTATCTTCGTAGTTTGTTTTCTTTTTACATAATCTGCTTTAGCTTTGAATAAAACTTTTTGTTTAGATTTGGCAAGTGACGGTGAAACTGTTGATAACCAAGATAATTGATAGCTAAGTACTGCGGATAAGACACAATTGAGAAAACTAGAAAAAGATATTAAAGAAAAATATTATTTTGTATTGTCTTATCAATTTATCAATAGTAGTTATTATAGGTGATGAGTTAAGTTACTCAACACATACTATCAAAATACTAGGTTCGAACCTTGAAATAATTTAGAACAAGTTCCTTCTAACGACTTGTTTATCTCAAAACATTCATTCAATAGTATACTAAGACTACAATTCATATGAATTAATAGAAACATCATCTAGACCGGCAATTTTCAGCATTCAAGGAAAGAAATATAGGGCTATCAAAATCTGATTGGTCAGCCATGTATCAATCAATTCACTTGTTCTGTTCGAGCCTTATCAAAGTTTTCTTATGATCGCCGATTTAAACCAATGAATCTGTGATCACCCAGGAAAGCAGCTAGACAGAAATAATTCACCATGCTAAATGGAATGATGATATTTGTTCTTTTTAGGTTCAAACTGATGTGACTGTATTATCTCAATATTTCCGAACTGTCGACTTCTTGGATATATGGAGATTGATTGCGCAGTTTCAGAAATATTGAGATAATAGAATCAAATCATTTCGAAACTTAAAAACAAATATTACCATTCGGTTCATTGTGGTGTATTATCTTTGCCTAGCTGCTTGTCCGGATGATTACAGGTTAATTGGCTGAAATCTGGGATCTTAGCAAAAGTGTTCCAACTCTCGAATGGAACCAGCTAAGTATATCGACCTTGCATAGATCAAAAGGAAAATAGTTTCAGTATTTTGTTTTCGAAATTCTTCATCAAGAATTCACCTGATTGGTTGATTGTAGTCGAATCAAATTTCAATATACCTTAATCTTCTCTTTTGAATAGTGAAAACCGCAAATCTCTCAGATGTTCTTATCATAAGATATTTAAAAAAACAGTGGAACATATTATATCTTGAAATAGATAGTAAATTATGACATATATCAGTCTTCCTACATATGACAGTTGTTAGATACTCGATAGATATGATGTTGTTTTTTTTTTCATGCTTTTCAAATGTGTCCTTGTATACTAAACAGATATTGTATACATTTAATTA